TGAATGAAAACTCAGGATAAGGCAGAGCATTCACTGTGATACTTCCCAAAAATGGGATTTGACAAAATAGGAAATTCTGAATGACTGCAACCTNCTGAAAGCAATTCACAACTTGAGGAAGAGATATTTTGAACACTGGATCTCCCTGCTATTGTTATGAGCTTCATAAAGTCTTTGGGCTAGAAAATTTATATCCTCCCCTAAAAGGTAAATTTGAACTTGTTCTCCACTTTATGTATTTTTCACTCAATATATTTGTTGGAATGAGGAAAAATGACTCCCTATTAATGTTTGTAGTGTGTATAATACAAAAGGTAGGTAGAAATGTTAAAATGACCATTGCATGATGTCTGTAGAAGTTAATTTCCAGAGTTTTTCTGAAAGTAAACAAGTATCTACAACATTGGTCCTTCTTTTCTGCAAGAAGAAAAAATGCTACCACCCTTTTGAGTTAATCCATGGAGACTCAGGATGTCCTTTAAACAACACCTGAAGTATAATATGATAGCAAATAAATTTACACTGGGAATAACTTGAATAGTCCCCAAGAAAAGTACATTTTGCATAGAGCAATCGTCCTGGACCAATCCTTGACATTTTTCTTGGTGAATTGGGGCTGAAAATATTTCACAAGGCACTTCTCATACCTAGGAACACTATCCCAAGGAAATAAACAGAGGTCCAATTCATACAAGGATCTGAGACCCCCAGACCTTTCTAGGCCTGATTTGGAAATCTCTCTGTCATGCTTCAGCAAGCTTTGTGGGCCATTTGAGAAGCATCTGTGCCCAAAACTCAAGAGATAGGTAGAAGCACTTGGCATGGACATTTCACAACACCCATATTAACTGTAACCCCTTGGAAGCAGGGTTTCTGGGAACCATATTGACTATATGTCTCTTAATTTTCACAGTTTCTTGAAGTTTTATTAGCCATTAAATGCTTTATTCCTGGCAATGTGGTCAAATCAGATCGTGGAACAGTAATAGTTATGTATATGTACAATACTATGACAATAGATACCTTCTCCTATCAATCCTGGGCAATATTTGCAACTGCAAATGTCCAAGGAGGGGAATCAATTCAAATTCACTTTTTTGGGGAGACTATAGAATTTTATATCTCAGAGACTTTATGGGGCTTATGACAATAGCAGGGAGATTGAGTGTTTAAAATATTTCTTCTTCAAATTGTGAATTGCTTCGAGTAGGTTGCAGTCATTCAGAATTTCCCATTTTGTCAAATCCCATTTTTGGAAGTTGTCACAGTGAATGCTCTGCCTTATCCTGAGTTTTCATTCATTCATCCCCAGACTTGGTATGTACAATCTACACCTCCTTAGCTATGTCTCATACACCATAGCTTAGTTCTGAAAATGTTTGGTTCTTGTGTTACAGCACCAACTTTGTCCAAAAAATGACCAGACATTCTTTTTTCCCAGGTGTATGTGTAGCTTAGTGGTATTCAACATAAAGTAAACCTGACCCAGTGGTTGGTGAATAACCCCCCTATGACCCCATACAGTGGGGCCAGTGACTGCGTGCACTGTAGTAATTCAACTAATATTCCATAGTGTCACCCCTTTATGCATTTGGCAACTGTAGTCTGCCTTCATGGGTCTTATGCTATCTGGCACAAGCAGGAGTCAAACACAAGACTTCAGGGATTAAGCCACTGATCACACTGGACACATGACAAGATAATTTGTCTTGGAATACTCTAAAAATATCTTTTGGAAGTTCCTTATTTTTTCCCTATTTTCTAGCAAGAAATATGTAATACATCTATAAAGATTGTTTTCAATGAATGAAGGTCAAATATTGATAAAATATGTTGGAAAACATGTACACTGACTGGGCAAAAAGAATGTCCCATCATTTTTTGGACAAAGTGAGTCCTGTAACGCAAGAACCAAACATTTTGAGAACTAAAGTCTGGTGTATGTAACATAGCCAAAAAGGTGTAGATTGTACATACCAAGTCTGGGGATGAACAAGTGAAAAGTCATGATAAGGCAGGGAATTGACTGTGACAAGTGCCAAAAATGGGATGTAACAGAGTGGGAAATTCTGAATGACTGCAACCTACTGAAAGCAATTCACAACTTGAGGAAGAGATATTTTGAACACTGGATCTCCTTGCTATTGTTATAAGCTTCATAAAGTCTCTGGGCTAGAA